AACCCTGCGGAGCACAGTTCTACTCTGAAACACGTAGGGTCACCGTGAGTCAGCATCAACTTGATGGCAACTGTTTTTGTTTTTGTTTTTTAACCCTGGTTCAGATCCCGTGAAGCTTCACCAGGGTGACCACACAACCTTCTTGCTGGACTCTGCCTGTCTCTTCCCCTCTTCCAAAGCGATCCCCAAACCTCAACCCCCAATACAGGCCTAAACCTTTCACTCCTTGCTTGAGATTCCTCCCAGGGACCTGCCTCCGGGGTGAAGCCCATACTACTCATGTGCCATTTATGCTGCTGCCACTCCTGTCCCCACCTTCCTTGGCCCCTCTCCTGCCCTCACTCCCCTCCACCAGGCACACCAGGCCAGAGGTCAATGACCCAGACACTGGGAGGGACTGCCTGCTATTTTAATTTTTTCGACACATTCAGAAAAAGAGGAAATGATGTTAAACTTCCTCTTCTCCTTGGAGACAAGGAAGACTGGAATCATTAAGAACTTTCTGCAGTGGGTAGAGGGGTGTTCTGAAAGGAAGCCAGATTTTGTCGTCAGAAAACCTGAGTTCACATCCAGCCTTGGTCACTGTGTGTCCTGGGCGAGCCACCTCGGCCCTGTCTTCCTGGATGTGACAATCACATTACCAGTACCAGTTGCTGCTGAGTCAACTCCAACTCATGGCAGCCTCATGTGTGTCAGAGTAGAACTGTGCTCCATAGGGTTTTCAATGGCAGTTTTTCGAAGTAGATTGCCAGGCCTTTCTTCCGAGGCACCTCTGGGTGGACTCAAACCGACAACCTTTAGGTCAGCAGCTGAGTGTTAACCATTTGTGCCACCCAGGGACTCCAATAATCACGTTACTAATAATCTCATCTTGGACCCAATGCTCGGGGCAATCCCTCCCCACTGCTGGGTGCTGTTATTGTTGGCACTCCCATTCTTGGAGGGGTGTACCTCAAGTTCTACCCCCTCAATGCTCCTCACATCAGGGCATTCAAGGGCCCCCACCTGCACCTGGAATTTGCTCTATCCATAGCAAGTCACCACGGACAGTCTCTAGCAGGCCCCCTGCTCTCCTTATAGGCCATTTTGAGCCACCCCTGTGGCCTCTGGACCACTGTCTACCACCAGCAGTGCCAGTAGAACTAGCTTTCTGTGCATAAACCACACACTAATAATTGTCCCGATACATATGGCGTGTACTCAGGGTCCATTATCAGCTAATGAGTAAATAATACTCTGTTCTAAATCCAAAAGCGCTATTAGATACCAGAGGGGGACTAATGAGTGTTTTAAGACCCCTTTAATCACATATTAACGTGACACGAAGCGGGCTGCGGAGCCCCATATGCCAACTGCTCTGCGAATGAGGAGGCTTCTTCCTCTTTAACAAAAAACAGAAAGGGAAAAAAGAGCGAGACCTCTGTCCTTGGGTCTGGTTAATAGCCAGGCCAAAGAGTTGGGGCTGAAGAAAATCCTCAAAGCTGAATTGCTGTCTTTGAATTAAAGGGGTGCTGTTGTACCTGCCCCTCCTCTTCTGGGGGGTGGTAGGGAAAAGGGGTGAGGGTCTGGGCATGGGACGAGGCCTTAACTCACTGAAGGACTGTAACAAGGAGTTCCTGCCATTTTGTCCCCTGCTGAGCATTCCAGAAAAGTTCAAGAACTCGACCCAAATTTCTCCCACCGATCCATCATGTCACATTAGCGACTTAGCTTCTTATTAGCCACTTCCCATCGAATCGCATTAATATTTGTTTCCCTAATACAATGCAAGAGTCTTCTCAGATTAGCAACTTTCTCATCACATTAGTGGAAACAACTTCTAGTACAATACTAATATGACACCATCTGATGGAAAATTGCTAACACAAACAGACTTTCCTCTCAGACCGGTACGGGACATTGGTCTGTTTTTAAGCAATGCTGGGGAATGCTGGAACAATTTGTCCCCAGTGACCAGGGCCACTGGGTCACTGTTGGTTGTCTGACTATGGATGAGGTTTTGATGTGGAGGGAGGTTCCCTTTGGAAGAAACCAACTTTCCCCAAATCTGAGAGCAGTGAAGCTGAGAGGGGCCCTGAGAGGTGCAAGTTCATACAGCTAAGGGCGGAAAGGTCTCCTGTTTCCAAACAACACTCATAAGGAACATTCCAGCTCTTCTCCTAAACATCCAAGTCGTCTTGGAAATTGTGGGAGAAGGTGAGAAGGCAGTATGGTGGCGGGGGGATCCATTATACCTTCTATAACTCAGTTCTCTGTGGCACAAACTCCACTGGTATGACAAGGCTGTGCTGGCACCGTCAAGGTTAATTCATCAAGGACGTGTGGATGCAGCAGAACCAGGGTGTTCTGAGAAGCCAGCAAACTTGAGTTGTTCTGCTGACGAGGCCACGGGGGTGGGGGGCTCAGCGGGCCACATGCTCTCACTAAGTAGGTTAAGAAAAACCTCACTCAAGCCAGGTTGGGCTCTGGACTGGCTTGGGTTCAAATTCCATCTCTGCCATGTCCTAGCTGGGAGCTCTTGGGCATGTAATTTAATCTCTCCATGCCTCAGTCTCCTCCTCTGTAAAATGGGGATGAAACGGGGCCTACCTAATAGGATTGCTATGAGGATTAAATGAGATCTGTTGTTGTTAGTTGCCATCAAGTTGGCTCCGACTCATGGCGACCTTATATACAACAGAACAAAATGTTGTTCAGTCCTGCGCCATCTTCATGATCATTGATATGTTTGAGTCCACTGTTGTGCCCATTGTGTCAATTCATCTCACTGAAGGTTTCCCTTGTTTTCGCTAACTCCTACTTTACCAAACAAGATATGCTTTTCTAGTGACTGGTCTTTCTTGATGATGTGTCCAAAGTGAACGAGTCAAAGTCTTGCCATCCTTGCCTCCAGACTAAGACAGACTAGAAAGAAAGTTCTGGCAATATATTTCCAAAAATTAGCCAAAGAAAACATTATGGATCACAACAGAATATTAATGAGAGAGAAATCTGAAAAAAGAAAAAAGAAAAAAAACAGAACAAAACAGAAGCACCTGGCACATGGCAAGTCTTCCCTTCACCAAGGGGTGGCCAGCTCTCCTGGCCTTTCAAGTTCATTCACAATTTCTGAGTGAGTTCTGGGATAGGCATTATGGAAAAATAAAAAGGTGAGTATGGTACAGTCCTTCCCCTCAGGAAGCACACCATCTACTTGGAGATACAAGATACAGAACCAAGAAGCAGAGGTCATATCATAAGAGGACTTGAAACGAAGACAAGAAGTTTGAAGTTTATCTTGAGGGAAATCGGGAGCTGTGGAAGCAAAAGCCCCCAAGTGTTAGTACAGTTGAGTAAACAGAGGGCCATGGGGACAGGAGGCATTGCTTTCCTGCTGCCAAACCACCTGTCCTCTCTCTGGCTCCATAAATCCCAGCAGAAAGAGAGGCCGAGGGACAGCAAAACATGGAGACAGAGGCAGGGAGAACACCAAGGAAGCCGAGGGCATGGCTGCTCCATGACAGCGCTCGTGCTCTCTGCCAGCCTGTCTGGGAGACTGGTAGAGCCCCTGCCCCACCCCACCACACTCCATTCCAAGATATCCCAGGAAAGGTTGCCGAATAATCCCTACCACGTCCAAACGGCGCGCCACGTGGCAGCCAAGAGCTGGCTGCCAAGAGGCAAATGGCCAAGATTCACTTCCAACAGAGACATCCCCTCGCCAACCAGAAAATGCCGGCACATGTCCCGGAAAATTGGACTGTTGCTGTCCGACCAGCAGATGATGCCGACAGGGCTTCTCTGCCCTGCCCACTGACCTCCTTAAATCTTCCCAGGAAAGGGGGGCGTCCACACCCCAAGGATCCCAACACCAGCCCTCTCCACTTAACCTCCATGGATCCCCCTGATAAGTGCTCAGGCTCTAGAGTCAAAATGTGTGGGTTCACAGCCTGGCCTCTCCACTGAGCAGCTGTGTTACCTGGGGAAAGTCACTCAACCTCTCTGATTCCCAGTCTACATCCACACACAGAGTTAACAACAGTTTCTACCCCTTAGAGCTGTTAGAAGGATTAAATGAGATCATGTATGAGAAGTGCCTTCACAGTGCCTTGTAGTTAGAATGTGCTCAGAAACTGTTAGTTTTAGGTATTACCGTCTACAACACTTCATCTATCCAAAACTTAGCTAACTGATAATATCACCTCTCCAGAATGGGGCAGAGAGCTTGCAGAAAAGGCTTCTAAGCAGTAAAAATAAATGCTTCAACATCAACACATTGAAAGCCCAACCATTATATATAATATCAGTAATATTATAGTAATATAATAAGAAGCCCTGGTGGCACAAACAGTTAGGCGCTCAGCTGCAAACCAAAAGGTAGGTAGTTCAAACCCACCTAGCCGCTCCATGGGAGAAAGACCTGGCAATCTGTTCGCATAAAGATTATAACCATGAAAACCCTATGGGGCAGTTCTCCTCCATCACATGGGGTCACTATAAGTTGGAATCAGCTGGAGAGTACCCAACAACGACAATATAACATAATACGACGTAACACAGCGTAACACAACATAACATAATAAAAGGTAATACAGTCATTAGTAGCAACCACCACCAAGCACCAGGCAATTTAAACACATCATGCCATTTAATCAGTGCTGGTAAACGTTTAATAACCAGCTCTCTGTAGAAAAAGAGCAAGCTCTGATTTGTAACATTTCCAGGGTGTTAAGTACTCCCACCATGGTCAATTTTGAGCTCCCAAAGTGACATGACTGAACTTGGGGTTGGGAAGAGATGCTAACACTTGGTTCTCTCAAGTCACCACTTCATTAACCCTCCCCACGTTCCTATGAAGCCAGTGCTATTTTCATACCCATTTTATAGACAAGGATGGCAAGGCTCAGAGACACACATTTCCTTGCTACAATCCCAGGATTCAAATCCAGGCCTGTGCGGACTTCAAAGCTCACACTCTCACCCTTGGCCCACATGCCCTCCATCAGCACAATACCACTGACCTTCTTGGTAGAGATGAGGTGACACTGGGTGTGTGGTTCCCCCAGACCTTGTGTCTCCTGTGCCCACTTCTGCTTGATCACTGTCTGGAGGCCACTTCCCCAATGAGGTCACCCTGGGGTTGGCTGTGCAGACCCATCCCACTGTCCTGCCTACCATGGCTCTCCATTACTTTCCCACTTCTCTTTTCCCAGGCTGCGGAAGGCCACACGTCCTCCCCACCCCAGACAGCCAGACACCACGTTTTCCTACATAAATAGTGAACGGACCCACATTACCTACGTCCTCACCTCCGTAAATAGCCCCATATGACCAGGGCCTGGATGGCAGCATCTCCACATATCCTCTGCCCTAGACCAGTGCTTCTGAATTTAATGGCACAGGAATCACCCGTGGCCCCTGTTAAAGTGCAGATTCTAGGGTGAGGCTAGGGATGCACTTCCAACAAGTTCCAAGAGATGCTGGTCCGCAGACCACACTTTAAGTAGCAAGGATCTAAATCCCTAACATTTGAACCCCTAATGTCCCTCCAGGTCTCAAGGTTTTATAAATCCCCAGAGTAATTATAGATGACCCCTAACCACAAACACCTCCTTGGAGGTTGCTCCAATCTGAGTGGCTTCCCTTTCGGTTACTGTCTTCTGCTTGTTCCTACACTTACTCAACAAACACGGAGTGCTCGGTCAGTACTAGGTGCTGGGAACACGGAAAGACCAGTCCCTGTCTCAGGGAGCTGATGGTCCCCTTCATCTAGCAGGAAAATTCCTTGAGAGTCTGTGAGTTCAGTTTCCAGGGAGTAATAAGAGCAAGGAGTCCCTGCATGGTGCAAACGGTTAACACGCTCGGCTGCTAACCAAAAGGTTAGAGGTTCAAGTCCACCCAGAGATGCCTCGAAAGAAAGGCCTGGTGATCTACTTCCAAAAAATCAGCCATTGAAAATGCTATGAAGCATAGCTCTACTCTGACACACATGGGGTCACCATGAGTCAGGCAATTGGCTTTTTCAATAATAGCGAACATTTGTGGTGCTTACTATGTGCCAAGCACCGTTCTAAGTGCTTTATAAATATTAACCCATTTAATCCTCTTAACCCACAGCAGGCACAATTATTAACCTTATTTTTTCATGGAAATGAAGTCATCTGCTCAAGGCTATACAACCTCAAAAAGAAAAGAGAAACTGTTTAAATCCCCACAGGAAAAGAGGGCACCAGGGCCTAAGGGTTATACTCTCGGGCAGAGTAACATGAATTTGACTCCTGCTGGTGGCTGTGGTGGTGGGGTCGCTCAGAATCAGCAGATGCAAGTACGCAAGTGGCTGAACCTGGCTGCAGCAGAGGGGTATGAACAGGGATCCAAACTAAAAAACCAAACCCTTTGCCATCGAGTCAATTCCAACTCACAGCCACCCTATAGGACAGAGTAGAACTGCCCCACAGGGTTTCCAAGCAGTGGCTGGTGGATTTGAATTGCTGACCTTTTGGTTAGCAGCCTGAGATCTTAACCACTGTGCCACTAGGGCTCCATGTAAACAGGGACAGACCTATATTATTCAGGACTCTTTGGGTTGTAAGCAATAGAATCCCAATTCAAAGTGGCTAAGCATAAAAGGGAAATTGTTGCTTGTATGGCTGAATAGTGCAGGGATAGCTACAGGCACAGCTGGATCCAGCAACTCAAATATTGGCAGGGTTTGATTTCAGCTTCCCTCTGAGCTGCCCTCTTCTTCTCCCACCATGGCTGGCTTCCCCTAGTAATCTCGGGAGAATGGTTGCTGGCAGCCCCAGGGTCACATCCTCCCAGAAGAAGGACTCTTCTCCCCCCATGCTCATAGACTTAGTTACCTAGTGCTGCTATAACAGAAATACCACAAGTGGATGGCTTTAACAAAGAGAAATTTTTTCTCTCACAGTCTAAGAGGCTAGAAGTCTAAATTCAGGGTGCCAGCTTCAGGGGAAGGTCCTTGTCATCCATCTTCCCCTGGTCTAGGAGCTTCTCAGCGCAGGGACCTTGGGTCCAAAGGACGTGCTCCCCTCCTGGTTCTTCCTTCTTGGCAGCATGAGGTTCCCGTCTCTCTGCTCGATTCTCTCTTTTATATCTCAAAAGAGACTGATTTAAGATACAACCTAATCTTGTTGATTGAGTCCTGCCTCAATAACATAACTGCCTCTAATCCTGCCTCATTAACATCACAGAGGTAGGATTTACAACACATAGAAAAATCACAACAGATGACAAAATGGTGGACAATCACACAATACTGGGAATCATGGCCTAGCTAAGTTGACACACATTTCAGGGGGACACAATTCAATCTGTAACAATAAATCACAGGGAAGTTTTATCGGAACACAACCATGTCCCTTCATTTACATACTGTCTGTGGCTGTTCTCTTGCTACAGTAGAGTTGAGTAGTCACAACAGAGACCGGGTGGCCCACAAAGCATAAAAATTTACTATCTGGCCCTTTACAGAAAAAGTCTGCCAACTCCCATTTCAGACAACAATAACAACAACAATAACACTCAGTTGACATACATTGAGTACATACAGTATGCCAGACATTCTAAGAACCCATTTGCTTCTTGCAGCAATCCTATGAGGTGAGAAAACTGAGGCATAAAGAGGTTAAGAGTATTCATGCTCAAGGTCATGCAGCCAGTAAGCAACAGAGCTGGGATTCAAATTCAGCCGCTTGACCCCAAATCCCATGCTTGTAACAGCTCTGCTAATTAAACAAGGGTCCTCTGCAAGCTTGGGTAGGTAGGTTTCTAAATCAGGCTGTGATTTTCCAACTACTGGTCCAAACACACACACACAAACACACACACACGCTCGCGCGCACACACACAGTTGCTGAAGCAAGTCATGAATCCCACACAGAGCTCCCTCTGCTCGTGAGATGTTAATTCCCTGTCCCTTTAACGCTCTTATGCACCAACTTGTCCCGAAGAGCCACTAGGTTCTCCTGGTGGACATGGTGGCACAAGTTCCCAAGAGCTAGCCAGGGCTGCATGAGCTCCACGCGCACCCCCCCAACCCCGCCCCCAACCAGGGGCTCTGCCCATAGGCTCCAGTGATAAACCTCCTTTTCCTGCCATGGGATCTCACCATGTCCGGAGCTCTTGGGGAGTCCACAGACCTCTGATGTTTCTTGCTAGTTTACAAAGCCTTGCCTAGGAAGCTGGTGGGGCAGTCCAGGGGATTGAGTCCTACCTCCTGCTCTCAGTGGGTCATTGGAACACTTCCGGCTGCGGGGGACAGACAGCACAACTGCCGGAGGAGGGAGGCAGTGGGCTGGCAGCCAGGAATACGTCCCACATCAGAGGGAGTTCAGGGCTTCCCACAGGCCTGGGTTCAAATCCTCATGCTGCCACTAACCAGATGTGTGACTTGGAGCAAGGCATTTCCTCTCGCTGGACCTCAGTTTCCCCACTGGTAAAATGGGGTAACAGCAATGCCCTCGTTGAAGGGTAGTTGTGACTGTAAGAAGCAACATATAACAAGCGCTCAGCACGGAGTGTAAGGGTTAAGGCTCTGCAGCTGGACTGACCTGCGTTCAAATCCTGTCTACACTGTACTGCTGTGCAACCACTACTTGGCTGAGCCTCCGTTTCCTCATCTGTCAAATGGGAATATTGTAGCACTTACCTCTTGGGCTTGTTGTGAGGATGAACTGAACCAATGGGTGGTTTGGGAGGTCAGAGCATTGACTAAAGTGCTCAACGATATTAGCTTTTAGGATTATCATCAATCAAGGCATACAAAAAACTATTATTTCAGCGATGAAATGTGCTCCTATTTTTCTGAGCTAAGGGTGACAAGGATAAGCCTCTGGGAGGCTTGTCCCAGCCCCCAGGGAGGTAACCCAGCGTTCCAGGGCCTTGATGCTGGGGGAGCCAACCCCGCAAAGATATCCGCCCCACACGGCTCCGTGGGCGAGGCTGGCAGCTGTAGCTCTGGCTTGGTTTGGGCATGCTCCCCAGAGGCCACGTCCTTCTCAAGGCTTTCTCCCATTAGTGCTTGCAAGGCTGGGCTGAGATGACGGAGGGGGGGCCCGGGAGATAAAGGGGCTCCCCTTAAACACCCTTCTGGTGATTAAAGCTCTGGCCAAGGGCCCATGGTGGCCAGGCAGATGCCCGGCCCTCTGAGCCCTGGAAAGGTTTCTGCCAGCGCCCTGGATGAGGCGGGTTCCTCAGGGGGTCTTGGCCCCATCTTGCCTCCAGCCTACAGGTCTCTAAGCTCCAGCCCTCCACCCACTGCACACCCAACATCCCCCCTGGGAGGCCGTGGGAATCTCAGATTTCCCGGGCCAAGATGGGACTCTGGCTTCCAGCCTCCCACCTGCTCCCACTGTTCCTCCCTGCGATCCCCAGTTCAGGAAATGGCACCCCTTCCCCTAGACCTCAGGCCAGAGCCTGGAGGCCTCTTCATTCACTCTATTCACCAGGTAAACCACCCACCAGTGAGGTGGTCAGATCCACTTCCAAGGTCAAGTCAAAACCGGGCCTCTGACACTACCCGGTCTCCTGCAGCTGCCCCACTTGCACCCCTACGGCGTTGTTCTGGAGGCATCCCCCGAAAAAAATGTCTTTAGATCAGGTCACTGCCAGGCATAACCCTGAATCAGCTCCTGGGTGCTGAGACAAACCTCGGCTCCTTTGTGTAGCCCTCAGACCCAGCACCACCCTGCTCTCCATCCGAATCTCCTGCCCCCACTGTCCGGTGACACTGCCTCTCCAATCTCAGAGCAACCCTCCCTGACATACGCCACACACGTGTGCACATGCAGACACATGGAAGATGCACCCACAGAGATTAGACGCACACACACATATCACACTACACACAGATTAAAAAAAGCACACACCCACAAACACCCCATACTACAAACATAGGCACCCAGACAGACACCCAGAGATAACAATGCATACACTCACCCTACATTACACACACAGACCCAGACACACACCCAGAAGCCCAGATATAAAGATGTACACACCCAGACATACGTTCTACCTCACATACACACACACACCCCTCACACACAGACGTACACTCAAACACACACACACAGCCGACGCAGACATACATCTCACACACAGACGTACACTCAAACACACACACACAGCCGACGCAGACATACATCTCACACACAGACGTACAAATACAAGGCAACAGACACACACCTCACACACACACATATATACACACAAGCTGATGCAGACACACACCTCACACACACACAGACAAGCCAATGCAGACACACACCTCACACACAGACACACATACACACACAGCCGATGCAGACATGCACCTCACAGCCAGACACAGGCGCCTCTTTTCATAATCATCACTTTCCCTGCTGCTCTCTGCCATGGACGCTGATTATTTGCCTCTTTGTCTCACTATATGTGACTCTTTTATTCTGTTTTGTTTACATGTTTACTGTCTGCTCCCCACCCCCCGCCCCGGACCGTCCATGCCAGAAGGCTTGTTTACTGCTATATCCCTAGCACCCAGCACCCAGCACAGAGCAGGCACTCAGTACGTATCAAAGGAAGAAAGGAATAATCCCTTTCCTATTATAGAAAGGGACTGTCACTTGCATGCTTTTATGTGTGTTAAAGTGTCCTGGAAGAACAAATAAGCAACTTGCAACAGCTGTGGACAGGGCTGGGCATTCAGAAGTTTAGGAGACTTACTGTTCATTTTACACTCATCTTTAACGTCTAAATGCTTAAAGATTACACGGATATTGTTTACAGAACGATGCATCTTTAAAAATCAGTACTTTAAAATGGCCTGTCCCAGCGATTCTCCAAAACTGGCCCAGCATCAGTCCCTCAGGAAGTGTTTCTAAAACTCTGGCAGGAGAATCCAGGTTAGGCTCCAAGATGGGTATTGTCAACACCTTCCCTAGGGTGCTGGGGCTGGGCGAGGGGGGCCTACATCAGCTGGTGAGAACCAGGGGGCCTGCACAGCCCCTTCCCAGACGTCCGGGAAGCTCAGGTCTCATCCCTGTTCCCCCATCTCTTGGTGGCCAGCCTGTCCGTCAAGGAAGAAAATTAAGCTTGTTTGGGGCTGAATGTCATTCCTGAAGCCACACTGGTGGCTCTGGGAACCAAGAGTGCAGGGGCTGTGGCTCACAAAGAGCTTTTTCTAGATTCTTCCCAGGAACAGAAGCTAAGCTGACTGGCCCATGATCACAAATGTGGTCCTCGTACCACCCCCCTTCTTTCAATAGAAAGTTTTGCGTTACATGTATAGTCCTGTCCAATGTCATAATCTCACGAAACTCCATTATGCTGAAGGACTTTTTTTAAAAAACCTGTAGCAAGATTCACAGGTTCCTTCAGATGGCTGTCTTCTCACATCCCCGATGCCGACACTCCAGGCTTCCAACACAGCTCTTTTCCTCTCAACGTCCCATTCCCTTCCCAATGGCAGGCTGTTTTTTTCCACTGCCCCATCCCATGACGACAAACATACTTTCTCCAAGTGTCTGACTGCAGCCAATCTTAGAGGAGATTAGAGGTTTATAAAACAAACAAACAAACAAAAAAGCAAAGGTGTTTCCAGCTGGTCATCTGCTATATTAAGCGCCCCCCACCCCAATGCTGCCCCATCATCCCTCCTATTTGTGGGGTGGGGGGAAGACAGGGAAGGAGATTGTCTCTGATCCTCTGTTTTCACCTGACATAACTGAAAACTTTTTCTATTACCTGTGCTATTGATGGCCACCTGTCCTACCTTCCCTTCAAGCCTTCCCAAGTGAGTCCCTATGGAATCATGCCGGTCCTCTGTGCAACTCTGCAGGGATTTGGTCTAATTTCTATGTCTTCTGAGGGTCCCACTTCTCTTACTGGTCCTCGGACAATCTCAGGTTGAGACAACATGGCATCTCACTCCCTGTGCTAGCTGATCTCTTTGTTTAATGTATTGAACAGCTGAATATTCCCTTTTAAGTGCACCTCCTGGAATACCCATAGCTGTTGCCAAAGCCACACGTTGCCATCCCTAAGTGACCCTTGACTCTGCCCAACTCGCTCCCATCAGTCCAAAAATGACTTACAAGTTAGAGATGACAAATATGTAGCATGCATATGGCCACTGCTGCCTCCCACATCCGTGGCAGACATTACTAATGGATTGCCCATTCCTACCCCACAATCCAGCCCATCAATAAATTTGATCAGTTGGACCTCTAAAGTACAGTCCAATCAATTATTACCCATCCTCTACCATTTTGCTCAGACAGCTGCAATAATCTTGAACCCGGTCTTCCAGCTTCTCCACCTGCCTCCCTTGCATCAATTCTCCACATACCACCTGGAGTGATCTTTTTAAAGCTTTAATCTTTTAAGAGCATAAACCAGACCCTAGGACTTCCCTACTGAAAATAGAATAGGACCCCAACTCCATCCCGTGGCTTATGAGCCCTGCAGGGAGCCGGCCTTGTTGACATCTACTCTCTGGGGTCTCTCCCTCTCCAGACTGGAATGTGAATTCCTTTATGGAGGAATTCCGGCTGCCCAGGTCATGGTGGGTCCCCAGCGCCTAGAACAAAGCCTGATTCAGAGTAGGTGCTCCAAACTGTTTACAGATTGAATGGACTCTCTTTTCTGATCCAGAGTGTGATTTAAGACTCCTTCTCAGCATAGTGCTCCAGGAAACTATCACTGAACTCTCAGCATTAGCATGCAAGGTACAACCAACTTTCAAATCCTGTTCTAACACTGGGCAGTTCTATCCATCTCCAATTATTTTAGAATGAGGCACTGTATAAAACATGCATTTTAGCTTCTTGGCCAGCTTACTTTTCTTTCATTATAGAAATTTTTTTAATCCTTTACTCCTTGTAGTGGAAAAGGCTTTGGGGAGGCTGAGCTTTGGGCCTGACAGGCCTAACAGGGTCCCTCAGCTTTGGGTATCTGGTGGCAGGAACCTTGGGGAATCTGTGAGAAACTTCATCCGTGTTTGGACCAGTGCATCAGTGAGGCTGTCACTGCAGAGAAAGATGCTCAGGAAAGTTAGGCCATGGCTGCTGCCCTTTACAACTGGCTGAGTTACCATGATGGATAGGAGCAGGTTCTAGAAAAACCTCAACTTCTGGCAAGCCCAGGAATCGCAGAACTGGAGGAACAATTGGGAAATAGAGGAGAAATATTTCAAAACTGGGAGCCCAGAGGAGAGTGGTTTCTGGGCTTACTGACTGGTTTCTCTGTTCAGGGACATCTTGGAGCAAAAGATGAAATTTCTTGGTGCTCCTGCCAGATTTCTTGGGGAATGGGGATGAGGGCAAGAGGAAAAGGGGACTGACAGAGACAAGGGTAATTAGTGCTATTAATTACATCTCAACGACAGCCTATGTTTCTGCCCCAGGATTAAAGAAAAATTCATTTGGAATGATTATTAAGGTCTTAAATGCAATGCTTCACAAATCAGGGCAGTGGAATGAAAATTCTTTCTCTGTAGGGACCAGGAGGCAGAGAGTAGAGAATTTTCTATCCAGGTTGCTGCAGCCCAGCTAGAAAAGCCAGGACTTGTAAGCCAGGGTGGAGGATGGCTCGCTTGTTATTGTTGCTGTTTTTTTTTTAAAGCTGTTTCAGGCAGGGACGTGTTCCAAATGTATAATCTAATGTGCTATAAAAATCACTAAATGTGATTATACTTTTATATCATATTAGAGAAAATGAATACTAATTCAATACCAAACACTAATTTGGTAGAACCACAAATTGCTGAGAGGCTACAAAAGATTTGCTGGGCTGAACTTTCCAGCCGGTGCCTGAGAGAGCGGGCAGTGGTGTTTTCAGGAGTTGGAGCACGGGGCTTGGTGAATCGGGTGGCCAGAGATGCCGGGGGTCTGCCATCCCCTCTGTGGCCAACAGATGCTGGGGTGGCTCCCCTGGGAACACGTGTCCTGTCACCTTAGAAGGGATATCCCAGTGCTCAAAAGAATTTTTCAAATCAAAAGGAATGCAAATGCACTCGAATGTTCTAACTAAGCATGTCATTCACAGCATTCGCAGAAGGAGGCCGCCTCTAAATCAGAGACAAGGCTGGGAACAGCCTGGCTTCTCAGAACAAGTGTGACCTAGGAAGTAATATTAACAGCCAATGTTGACTGAGCTTTTACTACAAGGTAGGCCATTTTCTAAACTCTTTTCTTACATTCACTCATTTAACCCTTGAGAAGACCCTATGAAGTAGGAACTATTTTTATACCATTTGGCAGATGAGAAAATGGAGGCTCAGAGAGGTGAAGTGACTCACCCAAGGTCACACAGCCAGAGAGGAAGACAGCTGGGATGCCAGGCCAGGCCGTTTTGCTCCTGAGCTGTTTCTTAATCACTTACCTCAACTGCTTCCCAGTCAGAACAAAAAACCAAACCCACTGCCTTTGAGTTGATTCCGACTCAAAGCAACCCCATAGGACAGAGCAGAACTGCCCCATAGGGTTTCCAAGGCTTTAAACCTTTACAGACGCAGACTGCCACATCTTTCTCCCACAGAGCGGCTGGTGGTTTCAAACCCTCGACCTTTTGGTTAGCAGCCGAGTGCTTTAACCAGTGTGTCAACAGGGCTCCTTTCTAGGTCGGAAATCGGGTCCATTTATCAGACAATTGCACTTCACTGGCATTACCTCATGCTAGCCTTGAGGCAACCTTTGGGGTAGATGTTATTATTCCCATTATACAGATGTGAAGCTGTGGGTCAATGCCACATACCACGTAGGAAGCAGCAGAGCCAGGACTCAAACTCAAGACTGACCAGCTCCAAACCAAGGCCTTATAACCACTGTACTACACAGCCTCCCAATTCCCAAAGCCAAGGCCATGATCCCAAAGAAAGGCGTCCCCTCCCCAAACTGCTGCTCAACATCCCCTCTCCCACCAGCCTCCCTGCATTTCATGAAGATTCTTCTCCACTGACGCAAGGATAGCTGGGGTCAGCTTCTGGGACAATTCTCCTCCCTGGAATCTCTCTTGCAGGACTCCCGACTCCCTGCTTACCCACCTTTCCATCTCGTGGGCTCAACGCCCCGTTTTATTATCAAGCATCACCCACATCATCCCATCACAGGCAGCACATCCAGAAATGCTGGGCCAGAATTACGATGCCTCGGCTCGTTTTCATAAATGATACTTTGCAATTTCCTTGTCGGGGGCACGGATAAATTATTCGTCAGCGTCAAGGTTACGATGATCAAAAAGGTGGCCCGGCTGGCCTTCCTTGAGACTGGGGATAAAAAGAAGGCTCTGATTACATCGCCGGCGCCAGGCAGAGGGGGAGCCCACGGCCCCAGCTTCTGCCTTGTGGCTGTGCGACAATCAGATACCAGAAAACGCACAGGCTCTGATTTGAAGGTCCTG